CTTCCACCGCGGGGCGTTCTGTCAGATGAAAGCTTCCTGCTTTGTAGTGAACATAAAACGCTATTAGAGGACATTAGGCCCGAGGAGGAGGAGGAGGAGGAAGCAGAGATGGGACCGAGATCGACCTTAATTTGACGAATGTTTCACGATAGCGACGGATGACGACAAACGCAGGTGGACGACGCTCTGATTCGTTTACTGACTGTAGCAAAGCTGCACAGGATTTAAAAGGCAGAGCTTCGTGTGATGAGTGAAAACCCGGATCCACGAGGCCACGCCGGGACGTCTGAGCTCTTATTCTGCACAACAATTTCCTGTTTACTTGCGATGATGGAGCAGGACGTGATGGGCGTCGCTCTGGCTGCAGATCACAGAGCTCCAGACGGGATCTTATGAATGATTTACGATGAATGAATGAACTCTGGACGGTTTCAGAGTCACGTTTCTCTGGTTTCTGAACACGGCGGGCAGGCAGCGCTCCAAATCAAACGTTTTGTTGAGCTGTAATAATTCAGATCGTTCTTCATGTTGGGCAGCGTTTCTTAGAATAATAATCACTTTATTAGCAGTTGGTTAGGCCACCTGTTTCATTTGCCAAAGAGAGACGCTGAGTTACAAGTTTGTCTTCTGCAGGAGTTTAATCTGTGAAAGCATTAACCCGTTGCCGTTCTCTCATCCAGACGGGAAGAGCAAGAAGGAGAAGGGCGCCCCCATCCAGAGGAGCACCGAGACCGGCATGGCGGTGGAGCTGACCAGGAACATGAGCCGGCAGCCGAGCCGAGAGTCCAACAACGGCAGCATGAACAGCTACAACTCCGAGGGAAAGTCAGTGAACCGCAGAGCTGCTGGTTGTGACCGTACACATAATCTGCTGGACCTGAAAAATATAAATATAAACCTGTAAATGTGCAGAAAATAACCCGGCAGAGTTTCTACGTCGTTCTGAGGGATTATATCCAGACATTAGCCACGTCCCAAATCAAAGGCTGCATTGAATGCGTCACAGCGAGGCGACGAAGGCCGTCCCATTTCATTAAGATGTAAAGACTCCTTCACATGCAGCCGATGAATGCATCCTTTGTTTCCACGGCTGCTCATCTGTGACAGTTTGATCGAAAACAGACGTTGAAAACTTCAAATTTGTTTTAAAAAATCGCTGAAGCTACGTTGACACGAGCCGCTGCAGTTTAAAACACGTACTTTCCATTTATTCAGCTTCAGCGTTTGAGTTTTATTTTACAGAGATTGTGGCGATTTTATAATATTTTAAGTTGCGATGCACGATATTAACATTTCTGGCCGATACCGATATCCGATATTAAGATTTCTGATATCGTCGATAACCGATATTATCGATGTCGATATTCAATTTTTAGGATCATTTAAGTAAAAACATCTGTGAAATAGCAGCAATATCAAATATAGAGACGAAGGCGCTAATTTTAGATGATCATCGGTTTGTCACATCAGCTAAATTGATACCGATATATTGGTAAAAACACTAATATCGGCCGATACCAATGTGGTCGCTGATATATCGTGGATCCCTAATTTTAAGTTTATATTAGAGTGTGAACAAGTTTAGACAAGCTGTGAACACTTGGGACAGTTTAGTCCTCTACAATAGTCCGGTACGAGCGTCTCAAGTTTTTCAAATCTATAAAAAATGTTAAAATCGTCACTTCAGGTTGCAAGACAACAGCAAGAAGTCCGTCGTAGGCGAAACCGTCTCCTTAAACACGTTTGGATGCAGCCTTTGCGTCCTTTGAAGGACATGAAGACTCCATCCATGGGGTTGGGACGCCGTCACAGAATCTATTCAAGTGTCGGATAACTCAGCGTAATCACAGTTTAATACAACAGGAACGCTGATCAAAGCGTCTCTTTGACTGAATCACATTAAACTCTGTGTTTTCTGTCCAGCTTTTAAATAACAAAGTCTGTTGCTTTAGAGAGAAAATACATTCTGGGTGTTTCTGTGTCGCTGTGACGGTGATCTGTTGTACTATCTGTTGTTTTTTGTGCTAACTAGTTGCTGTTTTTGTGTTTTCCGTGTCAGCCTGATCTTCTCTGGAGTGAATCTGGGCGCCAGCAGTCAGTTCAGTGACTTCCTGGATGGACTGGGACCAGCCCAGTTAGTGGGCCGACAGACTCTGGCTACTCCGGCCATCGGTACCAAACATTAATGCTGATGCTGCTTTCTGCTCTGCTCACTCCACAAATACTGACTTTCATCTGTTTGTCTATATTTTTTTTTGTATATACATTTGTATGTACTTATTTTTCCATTTACAGTTTTCTTTGGAAGATTTCATTTTCATATTTTTTTTAAACATATCACGTTAACTGATTTACTTTTATTTAACTTTTTTCAAAAAGATAGACTTACTTATTAAAAATTAATTAATCAATCAGTTTTATAATTTATTTTACTGTTTCTGGTAATATATGTATAGTCTTTATTTCGTAAATATTTTATGGCTTTTAGATTTTTAGATTTTATATAAATGTTAATTATGTTTATAGGTTTGATTTATGTTTTTCTTCAGGTGTTTTCATATTTCCTTTTTATTATTTTATTTTTTTCAATTCAATTAAATGTATGTTTTTGTTTTTGTTATTTCAAAGCAATTTTATTTATTTATTTATTTATTTTAAATTAATTACTTTTTATGGTAATTTTTTTTTCTTTGTCTTAAAAAATATTTAATATTTATTTTATTTATTGTTTAAAATATTTTTTATATTATTGCTTTAATGTTTTGTTCTTTAGCTATTTTCATATTTTCTTTTTATATTTATTTTATTTTATTTTTTTAAATTTCACGGACCTGTTCTTTAAATAAGTACATAGTGTTTTTTCATTTAGTTTTTTGTTTATTGATTATTTTAATTTATTTTTGAAAATATGCTAAGTTTATTTAATTGTTTAAATATTTTTAATTTTTTTAATTAGTTTTTTAAAAATATATTTTTGTTTCTTACTTTTATTTACCTTTAAAAAAAAAAAAGTAGGCCATTTAAAAATTAGCATTTGTCTTATTTTTTTCTTTTGCAAGATATTAATAGTTTAGATTTTTCTTTGTTTTTAATTGTAGTCCCTTTTTATTTTAAAAAATCTTTTTTTATTTTTTATCGTCGTCAGTCTTTTACTTCATCATTGCTCATGCACATTGATCGAAGCTTTTTTGTTGTTGTTGTTGTTATTGAAATGAAATGGAATGAATGAATGAAAAAAAAAATGAAATGAAAAATACTTTATTTATCCCAGAAGGGAAATTCAGTATTGATCAGTATTGTTTACTATTATTACACATAAATACATAAATATTCTTTATTTCACATATTTAATCCTTTTGTGTGTCGCTCCCGTCGTCCTGGTGCATAAACCAATCATCTCTCCTCTTTGCTCCGTTACCAAGGCGACATCCAGATCGGTATGATGGAGAAGAAGGGTCAGCTGGAGGTGGAGGTTATCAGAGCTCGAGGACTCGTACAAAAGCCAGGATCCAAATCCCTCCCTGGTAAGAGCCTCTACAGGCCTCTCAACACGTCGCTCACGCTCTTATTGTGAAATACGCTTCACATCCACCACAGTCCAGCACACGTTCACCCCCCCCCCCGTAGAGACGAAAGCCTCGCTGAGATCTGCTCTGGATTACACAGCCGAGGCTAATGGCTTTTTTTTTTTATTGTTCTGTCTCTGCCTTCAGCTCCATATGTCAAAGTCTACCTGCTGAATAATGGAGCGTACGTAGCCAAAAAGAAAACCAAGATTGCACGGAAAACACTTGACCCACTGTACCAGCAAGCACTGCTATTCGAGGAGAGTCCGCAGGGGAAAGTCCTCCAGGTGAGCGGGAGATGAGTTTCTCTGCATCACAGACTTAAATGGGTTTTTGTTTTCTGTGCCACATTCATACCGAGTGCTTTCCCCGCAGGTGATCGTTTGGGGCGACTACGGCCGCATGGACCACAAGAGCTTCATGGGAGTTGCACAAATCCTATTGGAGGAGCTGGACTTATCAAGCACAGTCATTGGTTGGTACAAGTTGTTCCCGCCGTCCTCGCTGGTGGACCCGACGCTCGCCTCCCTGACCCGGCGAGCTTCTCAGTCGTCCCTGGACAGCTCGTCGGGGCCGCCGGGCGTCCGGTCGTAGTGGACCGACACCAACGGGGGGAACAAAAAAAACAAAAAATAAAAAACAAAACTGCAGAGAGAAACAAAAACAAAACGCGGCGGAAAGACGTAGAAGAACAACAATCAGAAACGGGAAAGCTTTGTTGAAAAAACCTGACAATCACTCCTGCCGCGGTGGAACTTTGTCTGTTGTCAGGAGCGTTTCAGTGTTTCATATCCATCCACAGAAGAATCTCATCGTTTTCTCCGCCGGAAGACGCAGGGCCGCCGCTCTGGAACCAAGCAGGGTGGTTTTTAACTGAATCAACAATAAGCGAAGAAATGTACGTAAGCGTCGGAATGTATGGACTGGAGACAGAGGTAATCACCCTCCACGCCTGCAGGAGGCGCCGTCCTCCCCCCGCAGAGGCCTCCTCCTCCAGAAGCCCAGCAGACCGCCGGCGCTCCCGTATCCCCCCCCAGGGAGGGAGCCCCCGCGTGGGCCTTCAGTCTGGAAGCACAGGGCCTCCTTCTGGTGCCTCGGACCTCGGAGCCGATCGTTGGTCCCTTCTCTGTCGACGGATCCTCTTTTCAACATGTTTACCATGGCTGCTCCGAAGCCGCACTGTTCTAGCGTGTTTGCTTTGTCGTTCATTTCTTTCCCTTTGTTTACTTCTGGCACAAGATGTTTCTACAGTGCTCATGATAATGTCGTCAGTCTGGTGTGTGCATGGAGAGAAAAAAAAACTAAACACAAGAGATATAAAAAAGAAAAAAAAAACAAAAAGGATGTAAAATCTATTAAATGTCTGCAAAGTGTTATGCAGGGGGGGACTGGTGATGAAGACACAGCTTAGATTTTTACACTCGACAGTGAGATTAGCGTCGTTTTCTCGTTCCACCGCTGGCCAAGCGTCCGGGCCAGTCGTCTTTGTATAGATGTATATTAGGCCTCCCAGGAGGTTGACCAATAAATAAAATTTATGTCACTTTGAAATATCACAAGGGTACACTGTAAAAAAAAAGTAAAATAAAAAAAATGAGAGAGAGAGAAAAGTAAATCTTTGTTCACCTACGCAAGAGAAAGATAGGACCGTCTAATTTTTCACATTTTTGGGGGGAAGCGTTCCCTCGCCCCCGAGCACGTCCAAGAGTTTCTCAGTTTCACTTTTTTTTTTTCATTTTCTCTTTTTTTTTTTTTGAAATTTAAACACAAGCACAAGAGCTTGATTTTTTTACGACACAAAAAGTTTAACTTTTTGAAAAAAAACAAAACACGTAGTTTTAAAAAGAAAAAAAAGGAGAAAAAAAAAAAGCAACAATCCCCTCCGTCACTGGTTCAGTTCATTTCTTTGTCTCGATGATAACAGACAGACAGAAAGAAGATTCGCTCACAGAAGCCGTGTTTCCATGAGATCCAGTTCAGTCCTTTAACTCGCCTGCAGGTGGCGCTGTGGCGTTAAAGAAGCAAATCAAGTGGTGAAAGAAGAAGTTTCTTGTTTTGCTTTAAGTTCGTGCTGCAGCTTATGACGCAAATTTGAAGCAAACTTTTGAAAATATGTTTTCATTACTTGATTTGGAGAAAATAAACTCACCTGAAGGGGGCGATGTGGAGCAAAAGAAGCCAGAAACAAAAAAACCCATCCCAAAAAAAGAACAAGAAACACACTTCGCTGCATTCCAAATAACAAACTTTATCTTTTTACGTATTTACATACTGCAGCTGCCCTTTCATGCTTTCATGCTAGCGTAAAAACGCTAAGTCCGACTGGATATACAGCGCGACATCCTGGTATTTTTGGGACGTATTAAATCTTTTTCTGGCGTACTTTGTTCTTCTGTGAGAGAAAAGCGAGAAGAAGTCTTCGGGAACCTGTTTTCAATCTGGAAAACTGTCGTTGTACTTCCTCGTTAGCTCGTATTTAGCACGTTTCCGTTCAATATCGCTCCACTCAAAATTCAACTTGGCTCCACTTAAATCGCTCCAGTAAAAGAAAAGAAGCTGCAGTTTAGTTTAGTTTGTTGTCTTTCAAACATAAAAACACAAGGTGATGAAATCCGTTAGCTCGGTCCAGCAACGTACGGAATAAATACGACTTTGCAGTAAATATCTACGATGAACAAATCGGCTAAAAACCTTCTAATAAAAGAACCCATCGTTGAATGAACCAATAATTCATCGTCGCTCTGTTTTCTTACGTTTTCTCAAATTTCCACCAACTTTTTCCGAAGCGATTTGTCCAAACGCCTCATGGAAACACGGCTAGCTTTCCCTCGCGCATCAGTGTGAAGTCAAACCAATCAGAACGATCTGTCGGGACACCAACACCAACGCTCATCCTCCGTCCTCGGCCCGCGGACTCCTCCCACGGCGGCGGCGGCGGCGGCGCCAGCATGACTTTGGAAACCCGTTTCCAAGCTGCATGCACATTTTTGTAAAACAGATACAGGAAAAAAAAAAAATGAAAAAGATACCGAACTAGATACGTGTGTTAGTTCCACATACTGTTGGGCCGCTTGTATGTTGCATGCAGTTGTACAGTTTGCTCGTACTTGAATATTAAAGAGATAAAACCAAGAAACTGAAGCCATTCCCATTAAAGACATCCACGTCCTCTCAGTCCGGTGCTGAATGTCTCTCGAGCTGAAACCACCACCAACGCCCCCCTTCCCTCCAAGATTACGTTGATGTCTTTCCTCAAACCCTCTGGAAGATGTACTGCAGACCTCACAGCGCCCTCTACTGTTAGTCCACGTCATGGTTTACCTCCGAGGGGCTGAGACGAAGAAGAAACGTGTACAAATCCGATCCGATCACGCACGAGCTGTTCAGTCGAGTCACACACTGTAAATATCAGCTCACTGGTGAAAATCGCGCAAAAAAAAAAAGAAACAAAAAAAAAAGGGGGCCAAGTCATACAGCGAGTCGGGACCAGAACACACGGACTCGGGTCAGAACCGCTGCTCCACAACCACCTGGTCCACGTCCCATTTCAGAGGAGATTTTTATTTTTTTTCATTTCATCGTCCGGTGAAGCTGTTTTTTTTTTTTTTTCTTTTTGGTTTTTTAAAAATTTATATTATTTATTTTCTTTCATATTTTTTTTCCTTCTCTTTTTCTTTCTCGTCAGTATTAACAGGAAAAAAATAACTAAATAAAAAAACGCTGATTGTTTACAACTTCTGTGTTCCACTGAAACGACAAGAAAAATTAGAAAAAAGTAAAGCATTCACTGCAACATTTCTTGTTTGTATAACAGATGTGGCTCAAATGATGTGTATGTTTTATATATTAAAAAAAAAAGTTCATTTTTATTATTTACAAATAAAAAAGAATGTGTGGAAAAAAATACAAGCCTCTCTCCTTTATTATTATTATAATTATTATTATTATTCTCTCAGCCTTTGACTTCGTGTCAAAAAGCCAAACTTTAAATTTAAAAACGGGATCTGTTTGTGGAAAAGTCGGTGTTTTTCTAAAGTCTGTTGTTGCTCTCAGCAGAAAATCAAACATGAATCTGACTAAACTCGATGTTTTACTGCATAAAAGCACCTTTAAATAAGTCCTACAACACAATCTGTCCTTTAAAAATGAAAACCTCGACTGTTTAATCTCCGTTTTCGGACAAAACGTCTCAGACGTAAACTGAAAATCTGTTATTTCTGCACATTGTTTTCAAATCTGGCTTTTTTTTTGGCTGTTTTTGCTGCATAATGTGCGTCCAGTTGCATTGTTGTTGGTTTTATTTCCTCCCTTTGAGCCTTTTCCCTCTTCAACATATTCGGCTTCACTGTTGTGACTATTTCGACAAACATCGACACTCACGTCAATGCAAATTTTTGCATTTCTGCTGCAATTTGAACCAAACAAGTGAGTTTCTTCATGTCTGCAGAGATGATTTAGAGGCAGTTGGTCTGCGTAGCACCGCAGTGCTTCATTTTAAATGTCATCTTTTGGAGAGCGACCGTTTCATAAAGCAGCATTTGTTGATAAAAGCTGCTCCAGTGAAGCGTCATAACTCTGCAGAGCATCTAACCGAAGAGGAAGTCGCTCCATGTGTGACCTCCCATACGATGCCGAGGCCTTGGGAGATTTATGTTCCACATCCTCTGGTTAAATAAGCACTGGGCCCCCGAAACAACATCTGCAGGCAATCTAAGCTCACCCTCCCGGTGCCAGCCGGGCCCCTGGTTCCCCCGGTTCCCTTCGCTGCAGCATCGAGGGGTCGCGACCCGCCGCAGAAAAAAAACCAGGACTCGGACCGTCGTGGAAAAGATCGTACGTGTCAGAGGCCGCCGTGAAATTTCCATGCTGCTCCCAGGAAGAAGATTAATCAGAGCCATCGGGGCAGAAGGTCGCCATCGGCTGGGAGAGGAAGCAGGACGGGTTTCATATCGTCCACGAAGACGTCAGAGCGACGGCGGAACAAACAGAAACGTACGGCTGAGTGTTCAACGTGAGGCTGCGTTTCCTCGTTCAGACGTTTTCACAGGACGAAGACGCGACAGGTGACACGACTTTAAGGCCTGAAATCGGTTCTACTTTAACAAATACAGTTAAAACCTCTGAACTATGACAAAGTTTTACCTCCTGTCATGTTTTTCTTCACTGTGGTTCATTTTTCACGGCAACATAAAGTCCTGCACCTCGACGGAAACAGAACAACCACGACTAGAAGCAGAGAGAATCCAGAAATATCTTGACGCAAATATTACAGAAGAAATCACTGACAAAAAAAAAAGAATTTATTTGACTACTTACGTAACAGGAGCTGTAAGGTGACTCAGTGGTTAGCATCGTTGCCTCACAGCTAGAAGGTCACTGGTTCACGTCCCGGTGAGGACACCCGGGATCTTTCTGTGTGGAGTCTCCATGTTCTCCCCGTGCAGCGTGGGTTCTCTCCGGGTTCTCCGGCTTCCTCCCGCAAAGTCCATCAACATGCTGAGGTTAATTGGGGTTTGTAAATTATCCGTAGGTGTGAATGTGAGTGTGCTTGGTTGTCTGTCTCTAAGTGTAGCCCTGTGATAGACTGGTTACCT